GAAACCCTAAAGCAGAAACCCTAAAACAGAAATCCTAATGCAGAAACCCTAGAACAGAAACCCTACTGCAAAAACCCTAAACAGAACCCCTGGAGCTTGATTATCTCGATTGTTCTGCTGTCTGCTCTCTGATCTTTCTGTATCTGTCCTATTATTGACACACAAGCAGGGTCACGGCTGGATTCTTTAAAAGGTAGAAGTCGTCGAGGCTCCGGCACCAGGGTAACCGCCCGCCCTGGCTGTTTTCCCTGGCCCCCTCTCATACCAAATTCCCGGGGCTGTTTTCCTTGTTTGGGGGCTGGATATTGGCCCCTGGGGTTAAGGACAAAAGCCCAGCCAAGACCAACGGGTATCCTTTATTCGACGCTATGCCTGGCACACGCTGTGCTTTCACGGCCTCCAACCTCTCACTCGGAGCTCTGTTCTCGGCTCTCGAACTGCGCGGCTGCCGGCTGCCTTGCACTTCTCGTAGACAAAGAGTCTCCAACTCGCGGCATGGGCGAACAGACTCATCTGCAAATATCGTCTCATTTGGGCTCATTCCAAGATCGGCTTCATGGTACTCCTTGGGGATCGGTGGTGCGGGGGACCTCGACTGACTGCATGCCTTGCTCACCCCTTCTCCTCCTCATAAAGCACATCTCCCGCTGCACCACCCAAGGAAACCAACCAATCAAAGCAGACTGATGACACTCCCACTGTGGCTGCAACACACATGTCTTCGCCATTTTTCTGCTCAATGTCCTGCTGGCCGGGAAGCGACGTCAGTGGGAGTGGCCATGCCAGACTCGCAGGGAAAGCAGATCCAAAGAGCGTGGCTGCCGCGTCTCGGATGTCACGGTGAAGATGGTGGCCGGCGAGGAGGTGATGATCAGGGAGCGCTTTGCATTTGCGAAGATTGAGTCGATGATCTTGAGTTTGGGCCGGCTTCTTCGTTGGAGGTGGCGGCTCGGACATCATGATGGAGGCTCGGTGGTAAAGAAAGAGGAACACAAAGCTCCGATTCGCTCCAGGAGAAACGCTTTGACGGGGAAGGCAATGGTTTCGGACCACAAAACTGATGCCGCTTGGCACCTACGATGACTTGTGGCGACTTCCCGAGGCACGCACAAGATGGAGGAGTTGCACCTCGAGCAGTCCATCTGGTCGACAGATAACTTGGAGCTGACTGTCTGTTTTCGGGACGAGGCCGGCTTGTAGATGAGCCTTTGGATCTGAGGCTGCATGTGGAGACGTGTTTCAGGAAGCTCAAGGACTGTGTTACCAGTCGGGCCTATGCAGCAGTGGAGGCAAGAACAAAATGCTGTCCGTAATTCTTCTCCAGACGGATCCACAAACCAGATCTCGCCCTTATCGAAAAAGTCAATAGTTCAATCGTCCATCAAGATTGTTGCGATCTCTATGCATCGGAGTGCGCATCTCCGAACACACGGCAGGAAAAGCGAGCATCCGGCAACCGACTGCGCAGGAGGCGCACGGCCGTGTGTACAGATAGTTGCAAGCGCCTGACGTTCATTCTCAGGCCAGACAAGGTAGCTTGGCATTATAAGCACCCGCAGAGCAGTCCTTCTGTCTAGCATCTTTCACAGCCCGAGCTGGAACCTCGTGAGTAAGGCGAAGACTTGAAAAACTAAAGAAGGTCATATTCGCAAGAGAGGCTCGCCACTTGCAAGGCTCGATGCTCGGCCTCAGACGACACCACTCTAAAGCCCTTGGCATCTGCACGCATGTTGTTACTTGGTTGATGCGCCAGTACCGTGATCCCAGCGACGACGGCAAGCAAATTGAGTCAGCTTTGGCGGCGCCGAAGGCTTGCAGCTCCACACCAACTGCACTCACAAGGTGCATTCTGTGCAAAAGTATAGACCAAAAGCTTGTGATCGCGCTGGTGCCTCAATTGCCCGGTGTGTACCGGCATCCACAATGTGTCACAATCTGCTGTGCCAAGTTTAAGCACCGCTCAGCGTCATGCGTAGAAAGAGGCATGCATCAGTTAGGACACAAATAATTCGGGCACCTAATGTGTGCTCTAGCACTAGCACAAGACGGTTCGCGTCCCCATGATGGCTGTCGGCGAACCAGCGGCCTGCGAGCACCCCACTCCTATGGCAAACGGGCGCGGCAACTTCCTTCGAAGACAACCGCACGAACTTGCACGCCTAGGGGCCGAGCATAAACTTCTATATGCATTCTACGCAAAAAGCCGTACGTCCAACACCTGCAACGTGGAGCTCCTGACGTGGGACGCTGACCCTTTCTTTGCCTCGCGCCTAGCCTTTGCCCATCACGATTGGCACGCTGTCTTGGCCTTTCTGGCTTGCTGGCTCTGTTCAAACGTTTCAGCAGCTGGGCTGGCTTGCTTCGCCTGATGGCAGCACCGTCCACAGGATTGATGACAGGGCTCCGTCGCATCTTGCATGTGGGAGTTGACAGTCCTTTGATCCTTTGAGGAGTGGCTTGTAGAGGCCCAGAGAACGCAAGTCTTACAGACCACCGGCCGCGTTGTGACTTCCCGTCCGTTGTAAGCACATTGAAACGGCGCAAGGGAACATGCTCGTATGCGCATTGCTCATTTGCCACGCAGACATGGCTTCCCCTGCAACGGCCCATTTGCGTAAAGGCATTCGCCTCCTAAGTTCCTAAGCGCCTGCTTGCGCTGCCTCACCGTGCTTTGCCACCTCCGCCTGAGGTCAGGACAAATGATGGCGCGGATGCTCTGCTTGCCCACCTGCCGAGGTGCGGTCGTGATATGGAAGAGCTTGTCGTCGCCACGGACGCTTAAGGGGTGTCCGCTTGGGCTGTCTCTACGCACTGCAGTGACCCGATCGCAAGAGGTGTTAGTGGAGAGGATGGCAAGCCTTGTCGCGCTGAAGTCGAGGCCATTCGAGCTTTGCTGCGAACTCAGGCGGAGGGTTTTGTGACAGCACAAGAAACAACCTATGGACCGAACGTCGTTGGACCACAGACAAGGTGGCAAGCCCACTAAAGCAACGGCCACTGCTCTCTGGATCATGGCCTGATAAAATTCAAGGTTCGTGTCGAGAATCATAGCTACGATGCTTGCCTCAGCCTTCACAATCAGTGCTGCTTTGTCGACATCGAGCTGAAGGGCCTTGGGAGGCTTCTCGTTGCAGAGCTCAGCGTCGCGTGTGATACACTTGGCAGGGCTGATGTACCTTAGCTCATCCTGTTCGTGCATGGTTGCGGTCGCGAGCTTGTTATAAACGCAGCGAGCAACAGCCAAAGGTCCGTCCAGGCATGGCCACGCCGAAGATAGTAGCTTCATCCCCATCCTGGAGTTTGGAACATCAATTGATTGAGAGCGGGGTTGCCCCCATTGCAAACGCTCGCTCCTGGACGCAGCTGGGCAGTAAAAGCATCCATCTCGTCCGCACTTGGAGGAGTGCCGGGCAACGACACCGCGTATCTGAGTTTGGCCCATGCTTTCGATAACCGGATAACCCTGCAATCCCCATAACACACTGAGAGAACCGGATTGCTTCAAAGAAACCATTCGCAGTGCTTGCAGCCTGCGTTGTACATAGCCTGGCCCGTGACAAATTCGAGGTTCCAAGGCCAGGCAGCACCATGCTCACGAGAGTGTCGGCGAATGCATCTGAGCATGGCCTTAGCTCTCTAGATTGCAGCACGTGGTGATTTCAAGCCGAGCACGTCAGGGATTAGCTCGTGCCTGGCTCCTTCACAACCAACATCCAGGCTGCTGGCAGTTTGCAAGGCGATAGCGCCTGATTCGCCCTGCAGCAACGCAAAAATAGAACACCATTTCCTATTCGCCCGAAACGTCTCGTCATGTTTGCCGGTCGCCGAAAAGGACTTCTTGAAAGTCTTGAAGAAGTAAGTTGAAGTAAGACGGCGCAAGTCTAGTTCGCTTTTGCCAGGTCAGCGACACTAGCTGGAGACCTGTTTCCAAAGGTAGCTTCGGAGCGGTGAACGGCACTCCCCTCAGGCCAGCATTGAGGATGGGACAACTCAGATCAAAGTCGTCCCCACCATCTCCTTTAGAAGAGCACGACACGTCTTTACGAAGCGTGCGGCGCACCCAAAAGCACTGCTTGGCACAAAAGCCTGCGCCCGCAAGCCGTGGTTGCAAACCAGCTGATATTAAACAGAGCCACACGGTCAACCAGAGATAAGAAGTTCCACAGAACCCACATCCCTGATCTGCAAGCTGGCTTTCCAAAGGATTTTTCAACGTCCCCACTGTCTCAGTGTCAGAAGACTGTGCCAGAGGCTCGGGCGGAGGCTCCATGCGTGCCCGGGAATCAGAAGCTGCACCGAGCCAAAAATGTCGCCGGCGCCATTAGCAAATGTGCACACAAGACATCTCACACGCAAATCATTGAACAGAAAGAATAATCTGCTGTCTGGCTTGCGAAATGGCAGCATCGACTTGCAGCGGCCTCGGAGGCTGCAGGCCAGGAGCAAAGCACCAATCATCATCATCGCCCGCGCCGTCCTGGAAATGCGATAGGTGCACTCAAGCTTGTTTTCCTCGCTCCGGCCGGGGATCCCAAAAAAGTGATCAGGCCTCAGTGATCCGAACAGCCTCGTTCTTTGGGTCGTACATGTAGCTTGCTCACAGAAATGCAGGCATGCAAGGCAATGCAAAGCGCGTCATTTTCCATGGGTGCTGACAGTAGGAGGTCGCCTGCAGGGCAGGCCGCGTGCCTGCATGCCGCAAGCCCGAACAGCTACATGTATGCAACACGGTTCACAAGCGAGCATGCTAGGGCTTGGAAAACAGCCACGGTGACAAGGCAAAGAAAAGTTTCCCGCATCGATCATCACAACGTCGCCCACCTCCAGGCCAAAAGTGCCTCGGTTTTCCTCATCTTGCTCGGTAATGCCGAACGAACACCTCGGTCAATTGGGGCAGCTCTGGTCGTGTTCCTGCAAGGCAGAATGCCGCGCTGCCCTGCTAGACCGGCGCAGAGGGCGACAGGGAAGTGGCCGCAGTAGTCGTGGATCCGGCCGTCGAGGCGCGGACTCACGGCACCTGCTTCACTTGCTGCACTTTGTCGCCCTTCTGCTTCCGTTTTCCTTTCCCATCTTGTCCTTTCCAGCCCTTTCCTTTGCTGTGGTGGCCCGATTGCTTTGCTTGGTTCTCCTTGCCGGTGTCCGTGGCGCAGCCCTTTCCATCCTGTCCTTTGCTCCATTTCCTTTTCCTTTCCGTCTTTTCCCTTCCTTTCCTTTCTTTTCTTTCCGTTTGCCGTCTTTGCCATAGATGCGGTCAATCTCCATAGGGCGTTATCCTCCATCATCCCGGCCTCCTGTGCCACCTCCGTCTGCACTTCTCTCGGGTCTTAACTAGCAAAGAAGCTCGTAAAGCCTCTGACTCCTCTCGACCATGTCGTCCGGCAGCAGGTCGTGGGAAATCTCGGTCTCAAGGTCCAGATTTCTCAAGTCGTTGAGGGGTCACTCCTCACAAAGTAAGGCGAAAAGGTAAAGAACCATTCCCGCCATGTCCCAGCTCTTCCTCCCTGCCCGTTGGTTTCCACTGGTCTGCCTTCAAACCCTTTCCTCTGTGGTACGTGGTGCTTGCCTCGGCAGCTTTTGCCGCCTTCTCGCTGCTCCCCAGCAACTTTCCTAACACAGTCCCAAAGGCCTGCTACAATCGCTGCTTCACAAGCCTGTCATCTAACTCCGGTCCAACACCTTTGTTGGCTTCCGCCTGGCTGCTGCTGCGCTTGTTGATGCGCCTGTTGTTGCGCTGCGTCCTGCATCTCCTCTTTGCCAGGGGCCGAAGCAAAGTTTAAACCCCGCCTTCAAGCAAACTCCTGAAAAGTGTCTCGCCCAACCAATTGTGAGTTGCCGGGTTCCTTCTATGAAAAACTCCGCACCACACAACCACCCTACCAAAACTCGCGCACTGACGCCACAGCGGGGGATTCCGGACCTGCCGCTCGGGCAGAGTGAGCTGCAGCCAAGGAAGAGCAGAGTCAAACAAGGCGGCCGCTTAGAGCCTTGGAGCTCCAGGAGCTGCCGGAGCTCCGCTACCATGAACTCGATCAAGTCCGCTCGAGACTCTCGAGCTGTACATAGGGCGTATGATCCACAGGATTGCAACGCGTGACATTTCTGGTGGTCATTCGACATATTAAAACGTTAATGACTGTGCGAAATACTTCTCGACTCTTGCAGGCGAAACAGATGGTGCAGCTCTGTTCCTGCCGTATTCATCATGGACGACCTACGTTGACTCACACCTCCAATCATTTGCACAAGCAAAGCTTTCGTAAAGCTGGCTCTCAAGCCTCTTGAGGTCTGCATCTGCATTGATGTCGTGTAGAGAACGAGGCCTCCGTGCTTCTACACACTGCGCAACTAGTCATTCAGGTGTCATTTAGGCCAGGACTGGTCTTTGCCCAACAGAAGCGAAATCAAACATCTCTGCACCTGCCAACAGATTCCGAAGCAACGCAGTCAGGATGGGATGGCTCTACCGTGCGCAACCCTTTGCGGAACTGATTGCAAGACGACCCTGCCCAAACCCCCTTGCATACTGAAGCTGTATGTCTGGACTCGTCTATCACAGCAGGTGCCTCTGTTCCAGGCCGCCAAGCTGTCAGTGGAGGTCGGAAAATCTGGCAATCGGGAGAGAGGGAGCAAGGGATGGAATGAGGAAGGGAGTCGGGAGTGAGGCCCACACACGCAAAGAAAGACGACAGCGTGGGAGGGAAGCATGCATGAAACTGTCAAGGCTTCTGACTCGCCAGGCACCTCACGCTGCCAAGATGTCTCTCCAAACCTCGACGAGACACCAGCTAAATGATTCCATATGTCCCATCCAATCTCAGGTATTCTGAGGCGTCGAACAATGCATCCGCAGAAGGCCCATCTGGACTTGCAGCCCCAAGCTTGACAAGTGCTGCCTCCCAGGCTCTTGGAGCAAAACAAGCATAGTGGGTCAATGCCTGAGGAGTGCAAATTGGCGTAAGCTGCCTTCCCGCCTTCAGGTCCGGAGGCAAGGGGCACACGACTTCTTGAGCCTCGTTCCTGCAAGCATGCACAAGGCAAAATGGAAAGCCTCTTGTGCTCATGCTGTGTAGCTCCTGAGGTCTCGGAATCTCAGGCGGAAGGAGTGCAGGAAAAGGCGTGGACACCAGATTCTGTCCTGACAACCGCCCCGTGCTGAAACCGCGCATCAGTCGAACCACAACCAAAACCACAACCACGGCAGCAACAGCAACAGCAACGACACGGTTACGGTACAGCACCACGAAAGCAAAATATACAACTGACGCAACATCTGCCCGATGCTGTGCCCTACACATGTGATTGCAGTTTGTCCTTCTCCAGCTGTCCAACATCCCCGTACTTGTCATCCGAGACGAGCGGATGTCCCAGGTGCTGCCTCAACAGGAGCCCTTGCTCGACGACTCCTACGCTCGAACTACCCCGTGCAGGCTGCATTCCCATAGCGCATGATCGAGCTGGGACGCCCGGCATGTGAACACGGATTTGATGCGTGCGCCCAGAAGTAATATCACAGGCCTGTGAACCAGCAGACGTCTGTAAGGTCAAGAACATGCATCTAGTGAGCGGGACCGAGGAGTTCAACTCTTCAGTTCGGGAAATCTCGAAGGTTCGGCCCTGAAAATCATCTGACTTGTCGTGTGAAACACTGCATATAGCCTGGTATAACTCGAGACCTTTCACGCATGAAAGAGGGGCGCACCAGCAGACTGTATCTGCCCACGCTGGCAGACCCGAATGTGGCCTCAGTAGTTCAGGTTGGCTCCGGGATAGTTTCACTTTACAATGGTCACGTCGTGCTTTGTGATTTAACTAATGCCGTCAACTTACTATGACCTGGTACTGGGTCTCCGCCCAGTCGCCTCCGTGGAAATCTAGGTCAAGGGGCAAGACTGGGCAACCCAGGAGAATTCCAACGTTGGCAAAGCTCAAGTCCCCACCGAGCCTGCACTGGAAATCTCTGACCTGCGAACCAGGCTCGGATGTGGCAGGATGTGGCACCAAACAAGCATGCTCCGGAACCGAGTCCGAAAGAGGATGTACTTGCAACTTGCGGTGTAAGTTTGATGAGCCATATCGTATTCAGCTCTTTCTTAAGCCTCATCGACAGATGGACACATCTGTAGGTCCACAAGTCGGTCAGATCCCGGAAAACTGACGGAGAGGATAAAGCAGTAAGGGTGCAAGCTTGTGCTGCACAACAGGGGTCTCTGTGCCCCGCAACAAAAGTCAAAATTCGCGGTGGGTATCGTGCCAAAATTAAGCCTACCGCTCTGAATGGCGGTGCTCGTCGTGTCCGGCGACGCCGTGGCCCTGACCTTTGTGACCTCGGAAATCCCCTGGACCCGAGCGGCCCGTTTTGTCGTCGGCTCCAGCCTCTTTCTCCTCAGCTACCTCGACAGCATAGGCAGTGCTCTGCATAGCCCCTGCGACTTTAACATCCGCAGAATCTGTCGCGTCGGCATGGTTGGGAGAAGTACCCGAAACGCGTTCGGACTCTGTCAAGGTCTGGCCCCTCCACTGCAGCAGCTCCAGATGGCCGTCAACGAAATCCTCCTCGTCACCAACAAAACTCAAAACTCTCAGATTCTATGGAATCCCACTCATAACAGAGCTCATCTTGCCACTTTATCGGCTGTTGACATGGTCGCGAGTTCCTAAGCAGCAGCTGACAGCTGACATGTGTGCAAACAATGTAAACCGAACCAACCGTTGAGTCCTGCAGAGCATCAGACAGCGTCTGATCCCAGATGTCACTCGATCGCACCAACGGGACATGCACGAGACAGAGCGCCAGAGCGAAGTTCATGTCGTATTACGCAGCGGACCGCAGCCGCGGAGAACAAGGACTACTGATACTTTCCCACCAACTATTGGGCTTGAGCATCGGGATCGGAATCGATTCTTGGGTTCCTCCGTCTCTCAGCACTCAAGGCCCTTGCGGACTGGGGCAGGTGACCCTCACACGACATGCTTCGGGAAGCGTGCCTAGTCGTGGCATCGGTTCGAAGTGTGCGAATGCTCGCATCCACCGTCCCACTGGGAGACGATACACGTCCGTGCACCAAGCACACATAGCGCTTGGAGATCTCAGTTTTGTGAAACCTGCCGGAGGCGGATACTGTGTAGATATGCCGGTATGCCGTCCGGAGTAAAATGCAGTGGTGGACCAGTACCACAAGTAGCGACAATATAAGCACTGCATCTGTATCTCCGTTCCTCATGCGTAAGCTGCAAAGAACGAACACTAAACTTAACAGAGAGGAAGTGATGGAGGGAAGTGAGTGAGGATCACAGCGCCCTAATGCTGCAAGTGCCGTACAGTGAATACTGTCCTTCACCAGGAAACAACTTTCTTGAAGATTTCCTGAAATCTCCAAGTCCGGACGCATGAGCTTCCGGCTGTGCACGCAAGTGCCGCTGAGCCTTGGGACAACAGCGCATCGATGTTTGCAGTTGCACGATCCATCTATCTTCGGGGTATATGAACCTAGCTTGCAATGACCTCCAGTGTCATCTCTAAGGTGCTGGCAGCAGCAGTCTTAGCCGCCAGCAAGGGCCCGCTCGTCTCCTGGATCCAACTCTCACTTGCCTGTCTGTGCTTTCACATCTTCTCACTTCATGCCTGTCCTCATGTTCCATGTTTCTCTGACACTCCAAGCGGTGGGGATTGGAGAAACTTGGGAAGCTCTAAGCTTGGACGTATTGCAAAACGCTTGCTACGCACTCGTTCCGTGTAATCTGCGTGGCTTCTCGATCAGAAGCTCCACTGCTTGCTCACCTTGCTCAAGTCAAGACCCTCCCATTGAAGCCTGGTCGATGCGGTGCGACAGAGGACCAAAGCCCGTCCCTGAAAGAGCCGGGTTCGACCTTCGCTCAGGGACAAGCCAACAGAGATGACGATGAAGATGTTCCAGATTGTTCCAGTCTTGGGCCGAAGCTCTTCTTCGAAAAGCTTTGGATCGATGCTGTCTACCTCCACTGGTCGAGGACTTGAAAGCCGGGAACGGGGCACAGCGTGACAAGCACCTTGTCCTTCAGCCAGCTTGGCAAGTGGAGGCCCTCCTATTCACGCGTCTTTTTGGAGGCCACGGTGATTCTCCGAGAAAGAAAGGCCTCTGGAGTTCCTTTGGGCGGCAATTCCACCTACCAGTGCTCACAAAGCTCCAACACATATTTCCAAAGGATGCCAGTGGTGCCACAATGCACCTTCCAGTGAGGAGGCTTGTAGAGCACAAGCCTTACAGCGGGACTGATCAAGTCCAACCTTCAATTGCTTTCCATTGCCGAGGCGGGCACATCTGGTCCAAGTCAAGCACAACCTCGGGCCTGGGCCCGTCAGGGACCGAGATCGTTGGGGAAATGGTGCTGTTGCTTCAAACCTTTGCAATGGCAATGCCTGGAATGCACTCGGTCAGCAACTGCCATCGCACAGGAAGTGTGCTTAATGAGAACCCTGCCATGAAACAGGAGAGGTCTTGCTCTTGCTTCCCGCCTGCAACATTCGAAGAGACACACCCAGCGGAGCATGCACAGTGCAGTAGGTCCTCTGTTCGCGCGTGGCCAACACTCGCCTTGTCGGCCTAAGTGCGAGTAGGTACCAGCGTGAGTGCATGCCGGCGGGAGCAGCTGGGCTTTGGGCCAGGTTCCGCACAACAGCTGCCTTGGGTCGCCTAGATTAAATCTCATGCAACTCTGGCCGATTGAGACTTGTGCTTCGATAGTTCCGAGGGAGCCACGGAGGTGCCGAAAAGTTTTTGCGCACCTTTTGAAGTCGCCCATGTAGCACCCGAGAAGACGGTAATCCAAGGTAATCAGCCCGACAGTGGCTTCAAGTTTACGGTGCTACAATCTGTTCAGTCTGGTGAAAGGCATGAAACCGAGCCAAGAAGAGGCCTGATCTACTGACAAGCACGCTTATTACCTGCCGGGTTTCGAGGCAAGCTAGCCCTTTGCCTCCACATTGCCAGGCCTCGGCTGCGCCTCACGCAGCCTCCCAGCACAACGCACATGAACGCGTCCTGATGCCCTTCACCGCATTTTGTCGTGTTGAAGTCTTTTTCCACAACATGTTAATGCAAAAAATTCCGAGCTTCTGCGACATCCCGGGAATGCCAACCTTCCTGACTGTCGGAAAACAGCTTGCAGCCATTCACATATGAGAGAAAGCCAAGCAGCCTTTTCCATAAAAACGCCGCCCGCTTTTTGCTGCGATCTGAGGCCCGGTACCTGTGCACAAACGACAGTCTTCTTGCATCCGCAACTCGCAAAACCGTGTGATGCGCTTGATGCAGCGAGTATGCAGCGGAAGATGACATCAACTACGATCCATCGGTCTGGCACCATTGGACACGGTCTGGCTGCTTGGCCATGTCTGATGGGTCCATGAAGTAGGACCTTGGTTTGTCCGTCATGTGCATCTGTACAGCTCTGGAAAATCAATCGCGCAGTTGCTCGGTGCCTAGCTCTCCCCACCACAACCTTGAAGCGGCCGCATCGAAGGTGAGACGAAACCTGTCCAACCACGAGAATCTAGCCAAGTCCCCAAACTCGCCCCGACATGATCGCGCAATAACCCATATCATGCAAGCACAGAAGGGCAAACTCAACCCCAACTTTGTACATGTCCTGAATTGCTCCGCCGCGAAGTGCGCATTCTAGCCAAGCACACTCAGGTGGATGTGAAAGGCAACAACAAATGTTGACAAGCTGGGAACCCAGCTTTCTCGACTCGGCTCCATTTTTTCGCACACCTCAGCTGTCAAAGGGATCGGCTTCTACCACATCCCAGCTACGTTCCAAATACAGTACTGCGCAGAATTCAGTTGCCAAGGGCATTGCACGACCACGACGTACTGCTGGCAAACTCGAAGGAATAGGTTTCATTCAAGTCGCTTTCCTCTGGCCCAACAGCACGCATGCGACACAAGCACTGCTCACTGAACGGGTGTACTCGACATGAGTTTCGAATGTGTCCCGACACAGATGCACGTCTTTCTTGCAACGCACGCCTTGCCCCAGACGAAATTCAATCTGCCCTTGACTTCGGCAATCGTGGGTGGCATCGTCCCCTGGCATTCAATGCAATATGACCCCAACCAGCGAAACATATGTTGGGCAAAACCAACAGTCTTTGCCTGTCAGCCAGCAGCCTTCGATTACGGCCATGTTGGTTGCCACAGTCGGCTGTGCCCATTTCCGTTGACAGGAAGCCTAGACTGGACACCTTGGTGTGTTGAGGAGCCTGTAAGAACAATCGGGTTGCGTGGACCAACATCATGCTAGTCCGCTAATGTTTGAAACTTGATCTGACCCAAGTTGGACACTCACCGTGTTGATTAATCTGTTCGAGAACCAATATGCAAGTGCGCAGCATGATGATGAAATCGGGTTGCGAGCCTTTGTTGCCCTTTCTTTGAATGTCATCTATGTTTGCATTAATGCAGTTGCAGAACCAGCATTCATAAACACACATTCACATGGTAGCTAGAGGCAGCCGAACAGTTAAACGGCTCAGCTTTGGAGTCCAAGCCAACGGCAGCTAGCTGAACAACGAACTCCAAAATGCAAGCTACGCTATGCAACATCAACTTGTTTAGTAAAGCAGGAAAGCATGGGTTATGGATTTTCAGGTTGCAACGTCTGCATCGTGCGTGGCAGATCCAGCGCATGTGGTCGACACTTTTGAGCTTCTGGTGCTGTTGCTGCAAAATTCCACACACAAAGATGACATCTATTTTCCATCCCATGTGTGCTGCCATCCAAGGCACCCTCCACAAAAAAACACTTAGCAGGCGGAAATTTTGGACCTGTTAGGACCATTGCGGGTTTTTGCTCGTTTGTTAAACGCATGCTTGATCTGCTTGCTGGCTTGATGCAGCCAGCCTCGCGAAAACAATTGAAGGAATTTGGGTCCACACTACATGTGTGACCGGTTTCTGGCTCCGGAAACTTGGCCGCGGAAGAGCCTCATGAGCAGTCTGAGTTTTGCTCCACCCCCCCAACAGCACGGTTGTTCTGGCATCTACAGCGCGCTTTGCACCAACATTGCTTTTTGGGGGTTAAGGGGGTTAAATGAGTTGAAAGGGACCCCGATCTGGCCACCTGAAGGAGTGTACAGGGGCTTCTGGTTTGGTCCTGACCCTGAAGAAAGGGGATGTGGAGTCCGAAAAAGACGGAACTACAACCAAGCCCCAGCAAAGCACTCAACCAAGCACAACACTCGGACAGAGTCTTCGTTTTACTTCACTCGGCCACGCAGTTCCGGTCTTGAGCCAACGTAGGCACAAAGTCTTGCAGCAAACTAAAGGCGCAAACTACAGACAGGTGGTTTGGAGTTCGAAACACTTCCCCAAAGACAAAGCGGTCCTCAGGTACTACCAGACTCATCTAAAACGTCCGAAAGCGAGGGAACCTACAAAGACTACAGCCCTAAAGCGAAACGTGCCCCCTCACACTCCAAGTGGAAGGAACCTAGCTGTAACCTGTTCTGGTTTCCACAAACTTAAAAGAGTTGAGCCGGACGCCCAACTTTATCCCTCAGACAGGGATAGCTGTTTTCTGACGTCTTGGGCGAAGT